GATTTAAACTGATGACTTGCTGTTATCTTATCTCTGTCGTCTAAAAAAGGTCAAAATGGGTGAAGAGTAGTATTTATTAATCCTTTATGTTACTACGTTACTATCCGACTATGTTACTTGATGACCGAAAATGCAGAGCCAACATGCGTCTTGCCTACCAGCATGTTTCCGTTGCCCAAAAAAAGGAACCACAAATGCGCCCCATGGACTTGAAGAAAACCGAACAGATGGAAAGGCTTGGTATGTACTGATTCAATTGGTTCTAATTCTCTATAAGCGATTTACCTGGAGATTTCTCGTTGTTAATTGATGTTGTGGGTGTCCATGCCACAATCATAAGGTATAGTGTGCCCTAATATGCCATTTGTCTTACAATTCTCTATCATATGTGAAACTTCGTTTTATGCCTATGACTGTTACTGCAGAGTAAAATAGCTGCAAACCTTAATGGTTTAATGTTTGAAGAGTGACACAGTCTACTATAAACTATGGTACTATTCATTTGTCCAACCATAGGACGGGCCTTAAGTTTTTTGTGAAGTTAATATAAAAACATGTAGGCCTTAAAACCTTGCAACGAGTTCTTCCTGCAGCGAGTTAATCACTTATACAGTTTTGCTGTTGTATCAGTGAGGAATTTCTACTGGAATGATTTTTGTGTTGCGAGTGTTGTTTGTCAGGCTTCCCGATGTAACTTAACTAAACGTTTATTTCTTTATGGACGCTATTATTAGTCATGGGCTTTGGCGGAGGGTATGGAGTGTCACATTCGGCTCTCTCAGACATGAAGGTGATAAGCCAGGATGAACCCAGCAAAAATAGAGATGAGTCCCGAGTAGACAAACTCAGTAAGGGCAGCAGTTCAATGTTCGAACGTTCTGCCATCGATGACGATGAAGAGGAGGATGACGAATACATAGTGAAGAGCTTCAGGGGCCTAGGCTTCGGAGGGCCGCCAAAGTACTCGGATTCGCCGTTTTCGCGGAACGTCAAAAACAGCGGCAGCAGCAGCAACAATAACAACAATAACAATGACAGCAACAATAGCGGAAGTGAGTTTATGCTTAGCTGCTCCGAAAGATTTCAGTTCGTATTTACTAGAAAATACTCTGAAGGCTTCAGGAGCATAATAGTTCTTATTTATAGTTTGTGCTAAGCTCAGGTCTAAGTAGACACCAAAATATGCGCTTTTATAAACCTGACGTCATTTTGTCAAGTTAGAAAAAACAAATGTTACAGACTCATTAAATGTACTAATATAGAAGCACTGCTCTTACGACATGTTTAAAAGAACGGAGAAAATATATTTATCTGCAGGATATACCGACACATATAGAGCGATATATAGTCCTAACAAACAACCACTTGATAAACAGAGTAGAGTTGGCGCCAATGGTGGCGGTAGATAGTGCCGCTGTCTCTGTCAGCCAGAGTACATGATGTTGTATTCTTAGATCAATAATAAAATAATCCTAACAGCGAAGCGTCATGGATTGGCAGATACCGTACACAGTGAACGATCATAGAGAATTTATGAACGTTCATGCGTATTTTAGGTGAATGGAACAAGACAGGCGATGATTGGACAGTTATCGATTCGAAAGGCACTGGATGGAGCAAGAATGATTTCCAGTGGCTAGACGACTACATTGAGCGTAGTGTCCCTAGCAGCAAACCGAGTAGTGGCCGCAATTCGGCACCCAGTAGGTCGGCCGGAAATTCAAACGCCAAATTAGGAACTGTATGTATTACCTGTGATTTAATTTATATTGCTAAGTGTAGGTATAATATATAACATGATTGCATCTTAGGGAAACGTTGTGGTCTAATTTCGAGCCCGGGTATGAACGCACTTGTTTCGTGCTTGGGGCCACCATTTTAAAGACGATACCACACGTAAAACTCGAAACAGAAAGGTACATTGCATATGTATTATGTAAATGACCTCTTTCACTCATTAATAATAACTTTATCTTACTATTGCTAGTTTAACACATTACTGTGTTAACTTGAAAAATATATGAACTAAGGAGAGCCTAACAAAGAAAAAAATTAAACATAGATAAAATTGCGACAAAAGTAAAACTAATCTTGAGATTTAATCGCGACATTCTTAGGAACCAGCTCGGGGTGTGCCAAAGTCATTGACGATAGGTGCTCTGTCAAGCAGCTCATCTTCAGCCGATGCTCAGGAGGTGGTCAAGAAGTTTGCCAATGCAAAATCGATAAGCTCTGACCAATTCTTTGGCGGAGATCAGTCAAATGATGTATGTTGCCTTTTTATTTCGGTCGTCAGATTGGTGATTCTTAGAAACTCACGCTTAATTAAACGTTTAGCGAATAAGGATTCGGGGTAGTGGTCTAGTCCGTCCAATTGTACTTTCCACTGTAAGGAAATCTTAGTGTGAGCCTATGACAGGCGAGCAGTGTTTCCGCCTTGTAAAGCCAAATTCAAACTCAATACGTTTTGTCTAAAACTGTCTTTTGCGGACCATTACTAACACTATCTCGTCGTTTGTTACGATGAAAAACTGATAATGAACTACAGAAATATCGTTTTAACATTCGCTGTCTCGTGATTGAATATTAATTGCTATACAGTACGAAACCCGGGCGAATCTATCTAGATTCGAAGGATCAAACGCTATTTCCTCCTCGGACTATTTCGGTAATGGTCAATCGGGTAACGCAGGCGCTTCCACAGGAAGCCTATCTGCCCATGCGCCCAATCTATATGAGATCAAAGAAGGACTCCGTGATGGTGCCACAAAAGTTGCGACCCGGCTTTCGTCCATTGCTTCAGGAGTTATGAGCAGTCTACAGGTATTTTCTCTTGCATTAAATGTTTATTTTTTTCAATACAGGAGTAAAAAATTCCTTAAGAAATTTTTCACATTATCAACTTCAGTGGCTTTTATTGCCATGTTAAACATTTTAAGAGTCAATTGAGACATAACTTCATGCACACTTTCGGTTCCTGCTTATTTAGCGTATTTTAAAATCTAAGAGGTAGATTGATTAAACTAATCAATGTATCTCTTAGATTTCTATATATATTTTAATCAATTGAAACAAAAAAGTTTTGAAATCATTTTATTTAGCCTCAAAATTTCACGCTTGCATAATTTTGTACTCGCGTGGTGTAGCTGGAAAATAGACCCGGAATGAGCTGTGAACAGGCGCAATGAAAACTATACAGTTAGTATTGTATGTCATCACCTGTTAATGATAGGCGCTTCAACAGTCTACATAATGCTAGCACAAATAGAGCAGCGAGTGAATAAACTTGTTTACAGTAAAATGAATTCGTGCTCAGTAGATTTCCGGTACGATCGTATGATCACATTGCGTATACTGCTATAAGTGCCATGTAAATGTAGTGGCTTTATATAGGTATGGGTTTTATGCATGAAGCCTTCAGGGGAGCCAGATACGATATTTTCAATCCGAAAGGTTTCTACCAGCGATTTGTATATCTATCGCATTCGCAGATCGGCCATTCCAAACATTGATTTTGGGAGTTGCTTTATCAACCATCAAATAACCGATTTTTTTCTCTTAATGAATATATTAGCGAAGATGCTGACCGGCCTAAAGCTGTCGTTACTAATCCAAATACCAATTTTAACTAAAAGCTAACTGTTGCTTTTAAAAGTCTTGGTGGGTGGTGCTTAACTTTGTACGTCTACTATTTGAATGTCTACTAACCACAGATCGTAATCGTTGCCTATGCTATTTCTTGCTGTCCATCAGACATTAGTCACCCACGCTTTTATACTATCTGAACTTACCAGTGCCAGCGAACCAAAATGTTTCTATTACAACGTAAGTAAATGTCACAAGTATAATTTGTCATTAAATCAGTTGTTAAATCAATTCATTAAATCAATTGACATCTCAGTAAAGGACATAGCTTTGATGGATCGTACGATCCCTGTTTGTTACGCCCTGATTGTTGTTACGCTTACATCGTCTCTATTTGTCGGTTTGGTGATTCGTCGTTTTTCAGTAGAAGTTCAATGACGAAATTTACCAATATCGACACCATATGATCGATTGCCACTGCAGTCAGCTAATGACTAATGACATTCATGCCTCTTTGGTGAAGATACGTGTCTGTTTGGCCAGAGAATTTCGCTTTTTAATCGATCAACTGACTGTTCTAAGTGATTCTTTCTTAAATGTACATGTATGTGTGCACTTACTATTAGCTAAGTTAGCGGCGCGGTGGCCGCTAACTCAGATACAAAATTTAGTGAAACTGTATTCTTTGTACTCTTATATTATTATCATCGTAACTTGTTCTGCTAATCTGTTATTGCTGCTGTACGGGACCGCGCTACAACGTTCTGCAGCGTAAGCAATGAATGTAGCTGCTACTTCACTACAACCACCATCTCTGTGGGAAGACATCTGCAGTTCGCGCCGCTGCGGATTTCAACCGCCCCTGGCTGGAGCGATTGCGGCAGAATGTTTGTTGGGACCTCGACTTCGTAATAAAGAGTCGCATCAAGGAAGATCGTTAGCTGATCGTTGGGACCTCATAAGAAAACAAAAACGGAAAACTAAAAAAACAAAAAATTGAATTAACCACGAATAAAAATAATACCATACTACTAAGAATTCAAGAAGAAAGTAGCGTATGGCAAGAGCTGCCGCTCTGCTATATAACACGTACTAATGTGTATGTATATCTGAGAACAACTTATGATCCATGCTCTAAATACAAATATGTTGAGTTCTGTGCATACATTAGTACGTCCTTCGCGTGTTCGAGAGTGAAAGAAAAAGGGGAAGCGGGACAGGCAGAGGGAAAAGGGGAGTCACGAAAACAAAGAAGAGAATTTGCTGCCCACTTTCCAGTACAAACACATTGAAACCGAAGTAGTACTACAGCTACTGTTTCCACTCTAACGGTTATCCGGAATCTTCAAAAGCTCTGACGATTGGAAGAAAATCTTGAATGGAGCAGAGAAGAGTAAGTGGTTACGACGTTTGTTTTTCCTTGTCGAAATCTTCATCACATGTTGTTTTCGAGTGTACAATAATGAATGTGGTAATAATGAACAACATTTTGCGACACATTTTAATCTCCTTTCTATTTCATTTACCTGTCCATAATCGAATCACCAAGAGTTTTTAAATGTGCTTTTTGTATGTGACGTGCGCTCTGCTTGAAATTAAAATTGTAATTTTGGTCGCCATTATGACGACAGCGACGACTACGGAGTGAACTTTTTGAGCTCAATGACACGGAGTTTGGTATAACTGTAAATCAAAACATTGCAACTGCAGCTCGTAACGAGTGTACTGTTTTTCGTAGTTGAATTTCAAGCACAAATAACTACGATGGTTGTTCAGTCAAATTTGAGGTGTTTCTCTATATTAAGCACTATTGTTGTTGGTATTTTTTTATAATAGCAATGTTATGATTGTCGCAATTGTTACTTAATATTATTATTTATAACACCGTTATTATTAAAATATTTATACACTTCTCACTTCTTTGTGAAAATCAGGAAAACTGGTGTATAACGTGGTCCAAATCGTGATACCTTCTTATTTATTGTTCCACAGAGATCGATGCTGAACAAGTGATATAATTTTATTCTGCACGCACAGAAACACTGAATTTAGCAAAACAAGTAACTTCTTCTTTATGGTGACAATAATCTCAATATCTGTTGGGTTGCATTGTTAATGCAATGATTTCCCTGCCTTTTCCCCGCACTTTTCTAGCTGGTTTGTTTAATTAATTTACGTATGTTTCATTACATTTTGATTTCGTTACTATTCTTTCTTCGGTGCTTAATCGGTGGTGGGTTTAGCTAGAATTGGTGTCAAGCTTTTGGTTCGCTCTTGCTCTTGTCTGCTTGTTCTTGTAGGACTTCTAATTGGTGCGATCAGCGGTCGATTGCTTGGTTCACTGACTGCTGTTGCTGCTCATGCTGTCGATTGTTAGCGCGCCTTCTGACCGAATATGACACCACGACTCCTCCCGTTCGTAACGTCTACGTCTCTAAAAGGGCGAGAGGATACGAACCACGTACCGACGTAATTGATCCAACTATCGCACCCAATCGATCCATCGAAATACTTACCACATCAATTAATCAGCGACCTGCCGCCAACGCAGTGAAAAAGCCCTGCGTCCCTTCAGCACGTCCCGGACCTCTCCATGCACCCACTCAGACGACACCATGCACCATGTAGCCTTGCCATTTGTCAGTCTTTTTCGACGGGATTGGCTGCCTGATTTATCTCAATCACATACCCCGATGGCGAGCTAAATGCTATCATAACAATTGTTGTTGCATTGTCCATTTTATCTCTATTAGTACCGTCGCCACTTTTCTGCTGTAAAGTACCTTTGTAACCTTCCGCGAAACACAGTTTGAATGGTAACAAATTCTCACCTCGTGATGCATCGTACGGTGCTCTTGGCCCTAGCGAACGCCCTGTTTTGAGTTTCCATAACTTGTGTTCCTCTTTTGTACAAGCTTAACTCCCTATACCACTGCAGCCCATCTATACCCATGCAGTTCATCTGCTGGTCATTTGACCAAACGACTAAAGCTTGGGCAGGTGACTCGCCTGGTATGGTTCCGGTGAAGGTATTTAGCTACAAGCTATGCCAGTCGATTCGACACCTTGAATCTTCTACATTTAGGGATAAATATTCAGCAGTGTCATACGTCCGGAGGGTTCTAGCCACTTCTAGCATTTTTTCTTACGTCTGCGTTATTTAAGCGACGGAATGAAATAGGCAATAGCGCCAAAAACCAGAAGGTTTCCAGTTCTAATCTGGTTAAACACATGCGGATTGATGTGGTCTTGTATTTGCAAATTTGTTAATAAATTACTATACTTTAATTAATATGCGAATATTTCTTTAGTCGTTGTGATCTACCGTATATCCATATAATAGTAAAAATCTGTTAAGTGTGAGCCTGTTGAACAATATTTGGCCTTGTTGTTGCATGCAACGTTGTAGAAACTAACAATCAAAGTAAAAAAATGTACGATCTGTGTAAGGACATAGCGAGAGATTAGTAAGGGCACCACATGTACAGACAGGTCGTCACATAATCGAGGAAGAACCAAGGTAAAAATGAAGTATCTAGTGGTCATGAAACTTCGCAGCTCTGATTAACTTAACCTTGTTTGGCATTATTCGTGTACACTACATATGTAAATGTTTTCAACATGAGAAGAAGAGCGCATGATAAGAACGCGTCTTAGGTACTATCGTCAATTAACGTAATTACTAAACATTTACTCCGAACACACCAAGCCAAAAACTTCAGTGGTTAAATTTTTAGCTTGGCGTGACTTTACGCAAATAGAAGCTATCAGCATAAATTTTTGTAAGCGCAAATTTGTGTTAGTCGAATATACCTGTTATACACCTTTCAAATATCTCTGTTAGCCCTTTTTCCCCATTATATTATAAACTCTAATACGATTCGGGTCAACTATAAGGAGCAGCGGTATTCTGCATAGATCTAATTTTTTTAATGTTTTTGAACATTTTCTTCCAGGAAAAATATGGAAGCTAATTTTGCTATGGAGGTAACAACAATTCTGTGAAATTACCGGATAGAAGAATAATCGAAATTACCTTACATTGCATGGAGACATGGGACACGCCAATTGTTATTTAAAAAAAAAAACAGACGAGGTACCTTTCTAGTGAGGTGTAGAGTGCACAATTCTCTGTGCAATAATCGAATACACGAGCGCAACTGTATGCGAAGTTAATAATAATATTCATAATTCCATAATTATGACGTAAGGACCTTTGTGAAGGAAATGACGGTGTGCATTTGACGCACTAGCTGAAAATGAAGTCATCGTAGGTATAAAGGGTATAACGATGATAAAAACATAGTTACAAATGGGTGAGTTACACATTATTGTTTTGGAATTGTATAATGCTCTAGAGAATGCATAAACAAAAGATTATTTTAGAAGTATGAAAGCCCGAAACATGCGTTAAAACTAGAACTTTAAACCCAGTTGATTAATAGGCGGGGCTTGTATTGAAGATGCCCAGAATAGGCCAATTCGGAGATGTCCCTCGGTATATATAAAAACTAAAGCTGTAATAAAAAACAATTTGTGTATTTGATAAGAGAAGAAAGTTCAGAATATAAAGAGGCAGTTTACATCTGATGACGCTGATGGGATCTATATAGATGTATTAGTTTAATCAATTTCAAAATAAAAATAAGTGTTATTATTTTAAATCCAACAACGGAATGACAACTTTTATTGATTCATACGGCCATCAAGACCGTCTCTGTCAGATAATATAAGAAAACAAAAATCGTAACATCTATATGCCTAAACATATTTATAGGTAAAGATAAATGTATGAGAGAATGTTTGCCAGCATTTGTCGGCGGCAAATATCCGAGATATTTCATCACATACTTATAATAGCAAAAGCAAAAATCATCATGGAGCAGTTGGCAAAAAACAGATGAATGTTTAAGGCACACTTATATAGTTATAGAAGGGGCTACGGGGACTGCTAACAAAAACCATCGTCTGTTTTTTTGCTGCACTAGAGCCAGTTGTAATGAACGATGGTACTCTTGCAGGCAAACGTTTACAGCCGACAATTGTTAGTGGCGGAAATCTGCCCTTAAATGGAATAATATTAAGATGGTTCTATTGAAATTGAATTAATGATACATGCTGCTATGTTATAATGGCGCTTCATGGGCGCTGGAAGAGGCCAATAGAAATAAAATATAAGACTAAACCTATTCGTAACTTGCGTATGTATTTTTCTTTTGAACTTCTCTAGAGTAACACATTTCGACTGACATTTGTTAGGATCTAGTTGATTTACTTAACAAAATACAACCTAATACTGCTCAGGACTAATAGTTTGTGTTATTTTCTTTAAGTGTTTCGCAGTACTCCTATACGAGGCAGTGGTGGTTTATGATAGCGTGCACTCAAAGCAAGCGAAATGCTTTTAATGGCAACTACACTGGATCGTGCATCTACTTTTCAGCTTTTACCTATCTATACATAAAAGTCGCTTGTCATAATAAAGAGTTAATTCAAGGTTGTAGCCTTTTGTCTTACACTCTAGTTACAACTATTTCAGACGGCGCGTATTATTAATTTGGGTTTTTAGCGATGGACAACAGTTAACCTGAAATACTTTAGCTTTCGGTTTTAAGGTTCTATGAAACCCTTATTTATTCTCACTATAGCTACGAAGTTCAAACATTCAAAAGTAGAGAATAACACCATATATTAGCCATTTGTTGCTCATATAGTGTGGATTGTAGTATAAGCCACAATCGCAGGAGTGCGAAGCAGCCGTCGGTGACTGGCGCCACTTGTCATCAAAAAAGGCAGGTAGTAGGTAACTGGGCTCGAAGCATGCGAGCTTGCAGATACGACGTCGAGGGCCAAGGGCTTTAAGCGTGATTTACTTGATGTTTACGCACGTCTTCGCCAAACAGGGTTTCGTCTGAGCTGCCCAATGCCAGAAATGCACGATTTTTTTTTAGAAAGCCATGTATACGACACGATATTCAATATCTTGGTCTGAGGATTCTAAAAACGGTTCGGCTAAACGGATCACAGCTACAAGTCGTACTAGCATAATATAATTGCTTTTTTGTGGTTGATTTACTGTGATAGCCGTGTCAACAAAAATTTTGTAGGTTATCTAATCTTACGCTTAGAAGGTTTGGTTGAGTTATCATCATTCTCTGAGCAAACGCGGTAGCTTCTATGAAAAGAGATAGTTCCATCATAGTATTATTGCTATGTATTGGCAAAAAAACTGTATTTTTTTGGTCTTAGCTTTGATCCAGACAACTACGTTTTCTTTATACTCTACATCATCAATATACATCATCAACACGCTCAAAAATAAACGAAATCTTAATTTGAAATCTACATGGCATTTATTTGAAAATTTTTATGCTTGGTTATGTCCGGATTGCACAGCACTGCTGCATAGATCATAATAAGTCCAAAATACTTCTTATAGTTTGCTCACATACAGGAGGTTGGTTTTCTACCGCTACGATCTCTTTGTAAGGTATTATATTGTTAGGACGATGACCTTCAATGTACTATTTGAAAGCAGTATCGAGTCCTGTCATTAAAAGGGTAGCTGCGAATCAGTTGTGGTAAGAAATCTCAGAACAGATCTGAAAAGATAATGCTTTCAAGCGACATACAAGATGCCTTCATATAAGTGCTAAAGTTTAAAATTTAACGTAACGATATCAGTCGTATACTTCAAGATACCGCTATATTTTCGCTTTCATATTGAAGGTGCGCTTATACACTTTGAATTCTGGGACCTTTTATTCGAACATCATTACTCAGGCTTTTAGCAATCGAGTTGGAACGAGCCATGAAAAATTAAAAAATCAAAATGATTTTTAGATGTTAGTTCCACCTCGGAACTACGATGGCAAAGATAGCTCATTTTATAAACCTTACATTCGGCGCAGGTTCCAGCGCTCGAAACACTAAGCGGTTTAGGAATTCTTCTCAAGAAAGAATTGTTAAAGTCGAAAACGAATCTCGTGGAAGACCTCCCGCGCATACCGGAGGTGATTAATGAAGAGTTGAAAACTGCGCGGGAAGCCGGCTCGTACAGGTCTTGTGTGTGTAAAAAATACTATGTTCGTGCACCTTTGTCAAATTAATGAGGTAAAAAAATGAAACAGAAGGCTGTCCCATAAGTTGAGCGAAAGTCAAAAATGACGTGGAAACGTTTCTTTACTTTATTCTCACGCTACCAAAATGACTCATTTTCGCACCAAACTGTGACTTATGATGATACTGCGGTAATTGAAGACGGATACGTTAATGGGCGTATGCAACTGACCCAGCGAGACATGAGCCTAAAGCAAATCTACAGTTGCAAAAGCCTTATAGTCAAATATTATTTCAGACAGCTTCATAAGTTTTGGTTTCTTGATTAAAGCTCAGATGTACTGTCAATTATTAGAGGGGATGACGAAAAAAAACTTTGCTGTAAGCGGCAAGCAAATAGGAATATACCTTTCCTATTTTCTTGCCTACCTACCTCATGGATCCCGATAACAAAAATGCAAATATTGCAGTCGAAGCTCTCTGTTGTTCAATAGACTATCGTTTTTTTTTTTTTTTTTTATTTCGACGAGTTCTAAATAGGGAAGACGTCAATATGATATTGAAAGTGTTTTTTGATACTTCATAAACTGTCGTATCCCACGCTTCTGCAGCAGAAAAATATATAAATTACCCCACAAATAGCAGACCGGAGGTAATCCCAGTGTTCGACTGGAAATTAGGGACGTAAGCTTAAATGATCGAAAAGTTAGGTTTACAACAATGTTTTATACTAGAAGACCAGATACGAGGTTTATAGCGTTTTTAACATTATCAATTTAGACGGTACTAAGAATTTGGAAAGTTACTCGTTATAGGTATTTTGAAAAGTGCGTGCACTCATTTGGGGCTTCTAGTCCCCTCTAATTGAATTATTTTAAAATGTACAAGATAGGCTGATTAGACAAAATAAAAAGAGGTCCCGGAATCATTTTTAGCCGCACTTTAGGTTTATAACTTTGTAATGGAATAGTGTAGTTAGAAGATAAGTGTAGAATAAACCGTAGACGAATGGAGGGAAAAGTACAGAAATATACCATACGTCCCTATCTGCTACTGCTGACCACTTGATCAAAATATACCTATTGCTAGGCCGAACAGAACAGATAGCGATTACGCTGTCGGTCACGCCAAATTGTGGTCACCTCATTATGGTTTCTGCAGCTCCATAAGCTGAAAAATTCATAAACGTTGATACTTGAAGTGAAGAGATTTACACGTGCCTGGCTAAGAGATAATCATTTTACTAACTAAAATGTACTACAAATAATAAACATTTTGTACATTATTGACTCAATATATTGATCAAATCCTATGGACTTGCGTATCCAAAGCTGGACTAATGATCACACGCGATGTATCTTAACTGTAAGCAGTTGTGGGAGCTTCGGAGAAAAGGTGAATTAAAGGTAAAACTCGGATAAATACAGTGAAATGGCGAGGCATATTACGGCGCCTTGTTGCGGATAGCACCAGCATGTGGATAGTCCTCCCTGGGTCGTTTTTTTGAAAAATTATATCTCAGTTAAAACATAAGTAAACCAGCATCTTAGCTGTACATTGAAAAAGTGTTCGATGCAAAACGTATGCTTAGTAGTGCTGCTATTTAGGTAATAGTATAGTCAAGCATCCTTCTGTAGCGTTTTTGTGGCAGGTTCGTGACAGATGCTGTGTAATGGTCTTATTCGGATTGAAATTTTATGGGGCCACAGGACGCTGTCATGTAAGCGGAAGGATTTCTACCAGCGGTCGTGGGTAGGTATTGATTTCGAAGGCCGGCAACTATACTCACATTTGCGGCCGCTGACGTTTAGTTATCATTAAGTAACCCTTTTTTTCAAAAAAACTAGTGAATATGTACATGACTCCGGTGCCAATTTTTCAAATCGAAAAAAAAAAAAAATATATATATATATATATATATATAATAAACTTCAATCAAATCATCGTCATCATTCGTTACTAAATACTCGTTTCCATTTACAATTTTTATTCGGTTGAGGTCTAGTAGAGGGACTAAAGTACATTTTGTAGATGGACTGCGCAGTCTCTGCAATCTATTATTGCCTCTTTGCTCTGCCAGCAATCAGAGCGGCCATGGATTTGTTGAGAAAGCGACGCTTAGAGGATTATTACTTAAAAAACTAATAAGGATAAGCTTCAACGCTCAATGGCAGTTTCATAGGTGTTCTATTAGCACCATGAATTTTAACGTAACTATAATTATTGTAAAACAAATAACTGAATAACTATGAATATTCGTGTATTCTCACGACGGGCTCAAGACAAGCATTACTAGACTAAATTTAGAAACAAACGAAAGCCAATGTATTATCCGTAGACCTAGGCGTACCCCTAAACGAAAGCGGACATAAGAGATAGATATTTGCCTATGCTTGTCGATGGCTAATCCTTTGAAAAATCAATATTCTTAGAAAATTCATCAGAAGAAAAGACCGAGAAAGAAACAATAATTATGAAAAAAAAACTAACAGACACGAGAGATGATATTCCGCAGAAAACCGCGACAAGCAGAGGTTAGTGACAAGGACCAGTGATCACGAACTAAATGTATCGAAAACTGTGCTATTGAATTGATGATACTAATTAAAAAGGAAACGAGGAAATATGCTATTGAATTATAGTAAATAAATAAATATAAAACTAAGCTTTTATAACTTATACGTGTGTCGTTACTGTTTTTTTAAAGGTTCATTGTGTTTTATAGAAGCTTTCTAGAAGAAATACGCATTGATCTGCTTCCGCAACTATAATCTATGATAAAAAAAAAAGTCGAGTCAATAGAATGGAATTTCAATAGGCATTTTAAAGGCGTTTTATTTGGCTGAATATAACTTAGTATTACTCAAAACTATAACGATATATACAGCTATCATTAGATAACGACGCCTTGAAATATTCCAACAGTGCGATCTTCAGCAGCAGTGGCCAACTTCTCTCCGCGCACACTTAGACCGAGTATACTGCTTGTGTGACCTTCCCATTCCTTAATCACTTCACCTGATCGCGCGTCTACTTCTCGGATCTTTCCTGTGCATAAAATAAATAGTCAAGCACGAAAAAACAGCTCATGCTTAATTTTAGCCTTAAAGTGTTTAAAGCTGCAGCTTTTCACCTTACACTTAGAAATGCATTAACCTAAGGTGCTGCATATTTGTGATACAGTATATGCGCAGCTGTTGCGATCAAAGCTCAGCTCAGTTGTAACAAAACCTTATAAGGTCACAAGCTGCAGACTATATTACAAACCACAGTCGCAATGGTACAAATCCGACAATAGTCGACTGGTACAACTTACCATCAAGGGATGCAGCTACGACATGATTCGGTCCAGCCCATAAGAGCCGGCAGATACCACTTCGAGACCCAAACTGAATACGGTGCCTTTGCCGACCTGCAGACACGTCCCAGATGAGGAGAATTCCGTCTAAACTGCCCGCTGCTAGATAAATTTGAGTGCCTTTGGAGAAAGCTACACATTCGACACAGTCCTCAAACTCTTGTAGTGAATGGACAGATTTGCCTAAATGGGTTACAAATACAACGAAGGAGTAATGTCCAATGTTTTGTTGTTTGCTTTCCTTGTGTCTTGCTTAATGCCATTGGTGTTAACGACGATTTTAAAATATGTCAGCAGGAAGCGATAGCATAAACTAAAAAGTTGAATGAATACTGCTTTAGACCATATAATCTAATTTTCAAGAATTTCATCACTTTTTTTTATCGATCGTTATTCAACTACCTGTAGCGAGGGAAGCGAATTTGAGCCCGTCGGCTCCTCCGGAGGCCACAATGCCACTAGAGTTCACATCTATTGAGAGTACCTCTCCTTGATGTAACTTCCAAATTGTTGTGATAATCTGACATGTTTTGAGATCCCATAAGCGAACGGAACCATCACCATACCTGTCGCCCGTACCATCCGTACCAATAAACGTATTATGAGATTACAACATTTCCGTTCAAATGCGCATTCATCGGGATCCTTAATGAAATCCTATGATAAAATTTGCCAACAGCTGCTTATCAAGAGTTATTATTAATTTTTAAAAGAAATTATTATATATATATATATATATATATATATAATTATATTATTATAAAAAAAACCCCACTTGTGTTTCGTATATATGTATACGAGTTGACGGATTCGAACCAGCAACTCCCTGGGCTTGGTCTTAATACTGTTTTTTTAGCTGGCTAAGCTTCCACAGAGTAGAAACATATTGGTTCACTACAACAGGAGAACTCGCCCAAATGCAAAGTGCGGAAATCGATAAAAGCCTTAGAACTTGTTTGCATTACTTTTTTTAGAATTGTTTTGATGATCATATGTAGATATTTATACCCTGCGAGTAGGTGTCTGCCATCGGGTAACAGCTTGACTGATGTTGTTGTTTCTCCGAAGCTATTTAGGAGTTTCATGTTACCGGATGGAATCAACCACATTGAAATCGACCCGTCCTAAAGAAGAAAATATCCAAATACAAATAAATCTATCTATAAAAACATTATAAAAATAAATCTTCGTTTCTAATTCACCCTAGACACGGTCAAACGTTAGCATTACAGCACAGCAATGGATAAACGCTAAAACAAATTTTTAACTCAGATGGCAGGAAACACTGATCAGAAGCATTCAAATAATACTTTGATTAAGTACTTCTAATTTAGGCAAACAATCGATCTAGCTTCGTCGGCAAAGATCGGCCTTAAAAATTCCGCTTTGTCTTACCTGTGTACCGGCAAATAGAATCGCGGAACTTGTATGCCATTCTGTCCATGTGATATCTCCTACTTCTGTACTAAATACAATTTCTTTTGTCGACACTTCCCATACATTTATCTGCAATAAAGGTTACAGCACTATAAACTTTAATAGAATTCCGATTTCTGACGTGCTTTACGAATAGCTTCGGCATACTAGACATCGGTGATTTTTAAAAGATCCTTTGAGATAACTATATATTTTTTAAAGAGATTTGAGAACTCTTTGAGCTTGAAACTCATCGACCTAATAGAGCTAAAACCCTTTAGTTAAGATAAAAATGATATCAATATTTGTATGAGTCTGTTTACGTACATTTCCAGCCATATCGGCAGCCATAACGAACTTCTCATCATGGGAAAAACCAACGTAAGGAACGGAATCTTTGAAGCCAGTTAGTTCAAGGATGGGGCTGCCGTCTTCCGCCTTCCATAACCATCCTCGATCGTCTTTTCCACCAGAGACGGCAAAACGGCCGGAAGGTGACAACTCAACGTTAAATACGAGATCTGTATGACCTCGAAAGAAGAGTAAGGCATCATTTCGCGATGGGGTGAAAACAGTGACAGGAAAATCATCCATATCTGTAAACGAACAATAAACTGAAACTTCACAAACCATACTGCAAAGGAAGTTTTCAACGGAACTAAAGCAAACAACAAAGAAGTGATTACTCTCGTACAACAAGAAATCAATTTTACCATAGAAAACGACAAAAGACATGTGTGCGAGTCATCATGTGATAAGTCATCCAAAATATAATGAAGACTGTTACATAAATTTAAGTGAGCACTTTTCTAGATTGCCTGTTAATTCCCCGTTCCGTTGAACACCATCACAATGTCCATGATAAATATTGTGCTGAAGTTACATGAGGCCACCTCTCATGTGCAGCCCGCAACCGCTATACGGCCCAGGTATGCCTTCAAAGCTTTATACACATACACATGTACACGCAAAACGGAAGTGTCACACAGGGTACGTAACCTATAACTGATACGCATTGGAGAATGTCTGTTAAATCATTTTGCCAATGGAGAAAGGAAAGGCTATGTAGTAGCCAATTTCACCTCGCTCATGGCTCCACTGCGAACCGGCTCATATTCCACTCTGCCGTCTTTCTGTAGTTGACCGTAACTGCTTGGCACGTCTATTAGCGGTGTTGCGACTATTAGATTTTAACAAAAGTAGGCGCAACGTAACACCTAGATGATTCTATGAGTAGGTATCCCGACTAAGTTCACAATGCACATGTGGAATATATAGATTGAACCAAAATTCTAGAATAGAAACCAAAATTCTAGATACTCACCAGACTTTCCAAGAAAGTCTGGTGTGTATCTATATTTTTTTAATTATATTCAATTCTACTAGAAATATATTCAATGACTGCATAATTTAAGACAAAAGGTCATGCAGTTATGACGATGACACAGTACGGCGGCAAATAAATCGAGGTAACAAAATATCGCTTCACTGGTATCAGTGCTGAATGTTTTACCTTCATCGTCATCTTCTTCTCCTCCTTCCGCATCTTCGTCCTCATCTAAATCGTCTTCTTGTTCACCTTCAAGGTCTGCGATCACCTCAACGTCTTCATCGTCTGAATTCAGTATCAAAAAGTTCTCAGTCTCTTCAGCGTTCGGGCCACGGGAGGCCGACATTTTTCTCATAGGAAAATAGTGATGACCAGAAGAACTCTGTTGAACTAATAAGAAACCATGCTGTAATTTGCTTACGAAAATTAACTAACATTACGGTGCTTATAATTATTGTGATTTATGCTTGAGGGTATTATTGATAATTTAAAGACATCGTATAGAATGAACACGCTAGCCGTTACACTTGGACCACTAGAGATCCAGTCCAATTTCTCGACATCAGAAAAGTACATTTATCTTAATGGGAGAGCTACATTACCCCTCTGTCACATGTCCAGCTCTAGAATTAGTAGACTCTTTGCATAAAGGACATATTCATATCTATATTGCATAATAATTACTTAACGCTTGAGATTATCATGCAAAAGACAAAGTTAAGAGTAACTAAATTATAAAAAAATTCTCATATACAATGTTTTTACCACTCAAACATCTGGAACCTTTAATAACTAACCGAGCGATAATAATAATAATCAATAACTCGATAAATAAGACCTTTTGCTTAATCGTTCTGATATTGCTCGTATTGAGCTCCCTACCGTTACAGGTTGACGCAACGGTTACCGTGGTACCGAGTCCGCTTGTAGACAGAATAGCTAACAACCAACTATGGGAACAGCTTTAGAGGCCACTAATTAAATGCAATTTACGGCTGAATAGACAGCAATGGTTGGTAACTCAACCGTATGGTCAAATTCGATATCTAATTGAGTACCCACTGCCGTACGCCTAGGCACCATAACAATTACAGAATGGTAAATTATCCTGTTGAATAATTATTATTTTGAAGTAAGAGAAGATAATAACATTGTCACTGATATCATATGCACTTTTTTTACGTTTTCAATCTTCGACGATTTCCATCAGCGAAAATTTGTCACCGCCGAATTCGAACGCACGTGTGTTGATTGTTGTCAGTGCGCTGCAGCTGTCGCCGGTCAGAGCGTACGGCAGCGCAATATGGACTGTTTATTTTGTTAGAACTTCCTAAAGCTTCCATCAGGAACTGGGCATTTCTTGATAGTTCCTTGCACTATCAGAAACTAAGAACGAACCATCGAAATGATATTAACTGCTCACGGAATAGTTGAGATAAATAAAAAAAACAAGGATATTACGCATTTCGGCGCGGCCTTTTGAATTATCAGCTGTTTAAGCGAACCTACTTGGGATTTTTGAGAGCGTATTGGCTAGCCTCTGGCACATCTTTCGGTTTACGAGGCCGAGAAATAACATAAGCGACTAGAACTGCTCTAGTACATTTTTTTTTTGCCTATCTGAATGCCACGGCATCACTCAAGCGAACGAAGTAGACTTGGTTGTCGTTTACAGCTTCTAGTTGATTTAACAGGCCTGCGAACTGTGGAGCACTCGTGAGAAACGTGATCGTTAACAAAGAGTTTGTGGTAAGAGTAGTGGAAACGTCTGCCAGTATTCGAGCGCCACTCGTCCTATCTACAATAAGAGAGCAATAACTAGCTGTGGCATTAAGTCAAAAATTGCTTCGAAGCCAAGACAAGCACTTCTAGGGAGCAACATTTACTCTGGGCCAGCATAGTCGACAGTCGTGGGTTTTGACGTTATAGAACCCCTTATATCCCATCAAAACGACAGAGAGAGGGAAGTGAATAAACACTGTTCCAGCGAACGCTGAAATCATTTTCCTCGTATGAAATTCTGTTTTTTGTCTACGATGCAAATTATCGGACGTGATCGGCAAGTAGCTTCGTTCAGTGATGGGAAGAACTCCTAAAACTCTTTACTTCCGTAACGCAATTGCGATGTGACCACCCAGACCGATTCGCGTGAAGTGTAATTCATTTTCTATTCGTTGAACATCCGAATTACGAAGCTGTGTTCGAAAATGTGTCCCCTTTTGTAAGCTTACTTACTCAAACGTTGTAAAATATCACTGTTATCTACCCGATCGAGTGAGTTAATTTTCAACGGAAAAGCTAGCTCATAGTTTTAAGGTAGCATTAGAATCGTCGTACCATTAGGATCACACTAATTATGCCAGAAGTGATTAGTAGCTGATATAGCCATATATATGACGTTTTTTGGAATCGTAATAATATTTGCCTGCCAGTCTCTTCCGTGCCGTAGTGCATACATAACAGTGGATACTGAGCATGTACACGTGCTACTCGTAATGATGAACAGCAAAAGTTTCGAATTTCTGAGTAATTGCCAATTAAGAACAAACTACGCCTCACAAGCACAACAGGCACTGTCAATTCACACTGCACGAATTAATCTTTTGTTGGAACAAGGTAAATGCCCAGAGGTTGGTTGGGATGATTCCACAATTGAGTTACTTCTTCAAAATCTTGCTTTGATGGACAGTAACAATTTCCCCGGATGCGCCCAACTGGGTGAGCGGGAAGCCCGATTTGCGTCCGAGCTTGTGCGCAAACGGCATTTCCGGATGGGTCACGGCATCGGACGCTCGGGAGATATTCAGGAGCAGCAGCCCAAGGCAGCAGGTTCCACCCTCATGAATCATCTGACTAACTCAATGCTGCTGCATGTCCTGCAAGCATCGGGAGCCCCTAGTACTCAAAAATGCTTCGTAGTGCCGGCTGCAACAGGCATGGCATTAGTTCTCTGTCTTCTAGCGTTTCGTGCAAGAAAGCCCCAAGCTAAATATGTTGTTTGGTCCAGAATTGATCAGAAGACGTGCTTTAAATGCATGATAACTGCTGGATTACAGCCGATCGTCGTTGAAGGGTTGCTCGTTGGAAATGAACTGAAGACAAACGTTGACGAGATGCGTAAAAGCATTCAACAAATTGGAACTGACAATATTCTCTGCGTTCTCTCTACTACGTCATGTTTCGCTCCGCGATGTCCCGACGATCTTATCGGAATAGCTGATCTCTGTAAAGAGTTCGATTTGATGCACTTAGTTAACAACGCCTACGGGGTACAATCAGCAAAATGTATGTCGCGACTGGAACAAGCGTACAAACACGGCCGAGTTGACGCATATGTCCAGAGTACGGATAAAAACTTCATGGTGCCCGTTGGTGGCGCCGTTATAGCAGGTTTTGATTTAGAATTGATTGAATATGTGGCTAGAACATATCCGGGTCGGGGGTCCGGTTCTCCCACGATGGATCTTTTCATCACGCTGTTATCGATGGGCATCAAAGGTTATCATACGGCTTGCAAACAACGTAAAAGTACTTTTAACTATCTTGTCGGACGTCTCAAGCAACTCGCTGAGTCATATAACCAAACGGTGCTGCAGGTTACCTCGAACGATCTCTCTATCGGGTTCACGTTGAATGGTCTCAAAGATATGGCAAAAGTAAGCGCAGTTGGCTCCATGTTGTTTACGCGATTTGTGTTTGGCACGCGTGCTATTGATCCCGACACAGTGAAGGACATTGAAGAGCGTCAATTCATCGGTTGGGGATCTCATTATAGCAAATACCCTCATAAATATTTGACGGCTGCAGCTAGCATTGGTACAACAATAGACGATGTGGACACATTTGTTGAGAAGCTCGCTAAAATTCTTGCAAAAAATAAAAACATCAATTGAAAACGCGCTACTTGTATTAGGCAGACATGATAAACCGAGACAAATATCAGTCCACCAAAGTGTTTCTTCATATCTTGTTAATGATACAAAAGCTACACAAAGTAGACTAAATATTAAAAACAGTTAGCGCTCTCGACGCATGGGATCGCTGCAATAGCTCAATAGCGGCGCTTGCAAAATTGTAAATGTAGGCATAGATATGGACGGTTGTCGCAGAAATCCCAAACGGATATTACAATCAAGTAACCTGAGTAGCTTTAGTTTTTTTTTACGATACAGAACAAGTCATTGTGTTCGCGTTGTTAATTTGTTTTTGATCTACTGCGAAATTGTCACAAAGCTGTGCCCCACCAACGCTTTCAAACAAAAAAAATATCGTTATACTAATAGAGTAGAATCTATCACGCTATTTATAAACTGGTTTTTCTAATTTAAGTTCTTTCCAAATGGCTGTATCTCAAAAAATGTGTTCATGGTCGAATAAACTGTTGATGTTGGAAAATTTATATCGTGTATGTATTTGCCTTTTCTATTTTGTTTTTATAAACCGTGAAGAAGGCAGGCTATTGTGGACTGTACGGATAGTTTCGTTTGAAAAGGGGGCAAACAAACGAACAAAACGCTAGGACTGGCATAGAGAGATGATTAATTATAACATCTATTGAAGTCTGCTATTATGCGAATTCAATATATCTAACAGAAACACTTTGACACTCCATTGGCACTGTTGAAGCGTCCTTTCAAATCATCTATAGTTTAAGAGAGAGCCTATTCACAATAATAATTTTATTTTTTGAAAATTTCTGATTTGCGGTGTCTTATGTTAATAAATAACGATACAATACACAAACATTAATAATCTATAAAAACTTTTTTTATATAAGGAGAGGTCAAACGATTTACTAAGGACCTTATTTTTGTCGCTGGATTAATTAAATTAGCTTTCTTTTTTTTGTTTTTTTTCGCGTCATGCACTCGCTTTTATACTTGATTTAATCTTTTTTTGGCTATCATATAACGAAATAGGAATGTGCTCTAATAACGAGTTTTAACAGGATCATTCTTCTAAGAACGACGTGAAGCTTAATACATTTTCATAAAAAATGTGAGTGAAGGCCCTTACTTACTTCTGTAGTTGCTTTGTATGACGCGTAGCATTCGATGTCTACTGTTATACGCCTGTTCACTACTACTTAACCCATATCTGCAGAGAATCATAATAAATGTTCGAATAAAACGAACGATCTCACCGGCCATTAAAGTAGAGGTCATTCCAACCTGAATGGTGTTTGAAATCGGTTGTGACTAGTACACTATCATGATCTATTATATTTATAGTGCAATACGTACGCCTAGATACAGAGAATAAGGATAGCAATTAAAGAACAAGGATTAATCATTTTGACTTGCACGCTGAATTTGTCACTGTTCTAATAGAATAGTCCAGCGAAGTGAAGCTTCTATGAGGGCTGACCTGACCCGGAGTAAGTTTTTTGAAGTTCTATAAAATTCGCTTAGGATACCCTCATTACGGTTTGGTTTAGCTTACTAAAATTATTTTATTTCTCGAACACTAGCATATTTAAATATTGACACATTTAGCCTAATATTAATTATAGGAAAAAAAAAACCTACAAAATAATAGTAAGGAATCCTACAGTTCCTTTTTTAGAGCGACAACGCCCCGCTTTTTTCACAAAACGTGCGCTTACAAATTTCCTCTTCACCTAATCTGCATGATTTACTTAGATACTAGGTTATTTATTTGGTCGATTGAAGCAACAATTTCAAGTTAAATGGTAAGTTCATCGTGGAAATATGATCGATAACTAACGAAAAGGAAAAAAGGATCAAGAGTATATGTCTAGTAGCAAATCTCATGAGGCACTACTAGCTCGATTACCCATTATTCCAAATGTATTTCGATCCAGCCAGTTATTGTACTCGATGCGTTACCCTTCTAAAACAGTACTGTTGTATCTAAGAGAGGCTGCGAGAAACGAAAAACCCCGTGTTTTTTTTTAAGCTGATTTTTACCCGGCAAGGACGACACGCTGCACTCAAGAAGTTACTTCGAGAAAAGCGTTCACTTTCGAACTACAGCTAATTTGTTCTATACGGAAAACATCTAGGATGAAGGTTGCATTGAACCTTCAGCGTTACCGAGTGATGCTGATATCGCCAGTCCGTCGGTTACGTACCTTAGCCTGGGAAGTCCAGAATATGCGTTGCATTTTATATAATAGTCTCGACAGATGGATGAGTAGACCATATGTATTCAATAAAGTAAGGTTTAGCTCAATTTTTGTTGAACATTTACAATAGGGACTATAATTTAACTTATAAAAATGCGCTGCCTACCATTTCATCCATAACATGTATGCCATCACTAAATAGAGTTTACCTATCTCAGTTTAAACCAATTTTAATCACACTTCTTAATTTTTGAACAAAATTTCTAAAAACATATGTGAGCGCAAATTAGGGCTTGATTTACGTAATACTTAATATATCGATATAATATTTTCTACTCTACAATTATTGATGCTATTGCTACTAACGGTTGAGACACCATAACGTTTTGTTTTTTTTTATTACCATTATTAATAGATAAGTTTGTTTCTTTAATTACAGTTGCTGCTCTTACTCCATTATGATTATTATTCTCTATCTCCTCCATCTGAAGCTTTCTGAGTTTTTGTCACCAGTCTCGAGTTGCGCATCTCTCCTTCGAAGTCACTTAAGCGCTTTCATCTACTTATTTCTTTTAAACAGCAAATCGTTTCCACTGCCAGACTCTATCCGTTCTTCATGTTTGTATTCATTCATTCATCTCCTCGTTCGATCACTCGCACTTCTTCGCACGATATTCGCACACTTACAAGTTATTGTCCTTTCTCGCTTGCTCCCTGCAGTTATCTCACATCCGGCCCGTCGCTGTTCTGTTGCCTCGGTTAGACGTTTACCGTTATTTTTTCGCCGTTTTCTCTCAGTCTCTCTCTCTCTCTCTCTCTCTCTCTCGCTCTTTGTCATGTTTCACAAATTCTGCGCATCGATTAATGCTTATATTATCGTTGTGTTCATTTTCTCATTCACACGTCATTTCTTGCACTCTCCCTAAGCCACTATTCCTTGCCGCAATAGTCTCTCTTGCTCTATGTATCCCTATAGCGCATTCGTTACCCGCGGTGTTTTTGTTTGAAGTTATTATCATCATCGTCGATAACATCATCATTTTTCATCTCTGGTGGATTACCATCATTATTGTTAATATTATCAGCATCAACATAGTTATTGTCCACATAGTAGTTATTATCTCATAGTATTAACAACATTATTGGTAATAGCATCGTCATCATCATCATTGTTGTTGTTGTTGTTATTTCTGAATTACCTTTTTCGAGCCTGCAGTTTCAAAATTTTCTTGTCCGTCTTCGTTTCCATGTGTTTTGCTAACGTTGTAATGATGAGGTGAACAGACATTTTCGCCAGTTTGTTGCACTATTGCTTCTTAAATCTGTTCTTCTATTTTTGTTTGATGTATTTACAAGTTTTTCATAACTTGAAATAGTTGTCGATTTGATTCGGTACTTCTCATAATTATAATCAGCGTTGTCCATAATTTCTAGTTTCATCCATTTTTGTTCTGAATTATGCGTTGTCTTCCTCAACTATTTTTCCTCGCCAAACATCTTCAATTGTTTTTTATTACTGTTGTTGTTATGTTCACCATCGTTGTTAGTTTACATTGTTGTTAATCGGCGTAAGAATATTAATGGAATCTTATGGAACGACAAGGGATGGATGACGTGGCAGGAATCAATAGAGAACATTTTTTCGCATTTTGTCATCACTTGACGGTCCTTGGTGTTAGGGGCGCATTTATTATATTATCTATCATTGCTTATTGACTGTGTACCGTACCACAATATCCATATTTATTCTTCCTTCTTCTCTCTGTTCCGCCGTTGCAACCTATTACGGGACAATGTGCTAAATATCGATATAACTATTATTTGTATACAAATCATATATATATATATATATATATATAGTTTGTATATAGTGTGTGCAAAGTTTGAGTCAACCTTTATTATCCTCCAATAATGCGATGGTGCTATTTCTGACGATTTGACATTCGTACGCTTTCCTGTACTTCCTGTAAAAATGAACCGTATCCTGCACCGTCTATAACTATTGCGGCATACGGTTCATTTTGTCTGTGTTTACTATCAGAATTTGCGAGCGTTTTTTAAAAGCTGTCCTTTTTAGCGCCGTCCGTCCACTGCATGGCATACATGTAAACACTGTTTAATGCTGTAATACTACTGATGTATGTGTAATGATATAAGTCTTCTATGCACATCACACGATGGGGTCGTAGTCGTTATACTTGCAACAACAACAAGATATCAATGGGGCTCTGTTAGTTGGTTCTTGCCATTGATGTTCATAGTGTTACTAGATATACTGCATCTTTGTATAATGCTGCTTCTGGTATAATCGATATTGCAGTAATCGGCATGATTACAACTCATGGTTGACGCGTCCTTTATTATAGAACAATGCTTGTTGAAATGGTAGGACGTCAGCGGACTTATCGCTTACTTAACTGAATTCTGTGTGCAATAACATTTTCCCGAGTTCCGTTACGCCCCCGGCCAACTGGATCCTGCACTGAGCCTCTCTCATTCCGACACGATAAGCTCTTTTCCGCCATACCATACATTTTTCTTGCCATTAAATAACATAATTAATATATTATCTTCACAATAATACACCAGTCGTCAACGTTGTTACAATGTACAATATGTTCCCCATATACTTTTATATCAGCATCAAATATACGAAAATCGTATAGTGCATCGATATCTATAATAATAATAATAATAATAACGGTAGCAGTCTACACTCATTCAAATAGCGTACTCGTAATAATCGATGTTATTAAATGCAGGTGTTTCATATTTGGAAAGAAATAAACTCATCTATACTCGTAATATAATCTTTTACATGCATGAGGTGCTAATTGAAATTGAGGCTCTGATAAATTTTGTATCGCTTAACATGGTCGCCTCGTCTGCCACCTCATATATCCATACAGATACGTATTAATCAGTAACAGCAACGTAGGACGTCGATCATGTTCAATGCATGTAGAAGTAGCCCCTCACATATGAATTTCTGATGAAGTCCCATTAATTCTTGTATAACTCGAATCGATCGGTGTTGGAAAGATCGTGAACGTAAAATTCGAGTGAGTTCTTTTGAAACACCGCAGAGCGCTCAGATGATTTTCAAATATCAGTGTTAAAATTTGACAAGGAATGAAACTGGACGAAGGTGAAGCATTCGATCTTGAACGAGCGACACCGAACCGTTATCAGACAGGTACCGCCTAAAAACACAGGTACGATGTTCTAATAGAGCAATAAGAAGCTAAAAGAATGACGATCTACATTTTAGAGTGTCGTGGCACGTTCAGCAGCCAAAGAAAGATTATATACAACAAAAAAGCATTCTCAGAAAGGGCTATCAATCAAGGGTTAGCGTGTTAGCCAGTGCGCCAATTGCCTCTATGAAGTTGGTTTATCAGCAAATTCGTAATGCTCAAAGGAGTAACACCTAATAAATGAAATTTGTCAGTAACAGAATAACCTATGGCCAAAATAAGGTAAAACATTAAGCAATTTCGAGCACGGATGTTTTTTCAGAGAGACTTACATACATGTCTTAGTCGAAGTTTTTGGTGGAAAGCTCTTTTAATTCCAGTGAGTATATAATTACCTGTGGCAGTTGGACGAGCGGGTTATTAGGCTTAAATGCTTGAAAATCTTCGAGAGTCTAGATGTCTTATAACAAATTGCAGTTGCTTAAATATAGCACCGTCCCTTTGATATGCTTAGGTGGTACCCGTGATGCAGTGTTTTCTCCAGAAGACAGATAGCAGCGATATGATCATTTGAAGGTACCAGTGAATTTCTCATTTGTTTAGAACTCAGGGAGAATATGGTAGGAAGACAAAGTTATCCCATAAATATTGATGAAGCCTGCAACCATGATTGTTGCATGCTGCTCTTTTTATTGTATGGAGCAGATCTGGTTGGCACACGGAAGGTGCGTTAGCAATAGATCAAAAATCTTGAATGAGAAGCTTGCGGAGTTGTTGCGCCAAGTTCCCCAGTACGCATGCAACTGAGTGACGTAAAGGCTGTCGTACTTCTTTCATTGAATAATTGAATTCGGAGCGATGCCCTGGATAAACTGGGGTAAGCCCGCGTCTAGGTCAGCTGTTTGAAAGATGCACCCTTCACAACCTTGCGCTTCATTGGTCAACACTGGGGGACTAACAGCACGTAACCCACATACACTTGAAGGTCACTGGCTCATCCGCGTAACGTATACGTGAGCTGGCAGGCTTTTTATGTTACGTCATAAAGCTATCAAGAGGGCGCAAAGTCAACTTTTCTCAAGTGCTGCGTGTGTCTGTGTATCTCTAAGTAACATTTGTGTATAATTGACACAGAAAAGTCTGCACCTTCTACGAAAGAATCACATCAGGGATAGAGGCTATCAAACTAGGGAAATCACCATTATAGAGAACGGGGCCTTCCAATGACCTCTGACAAGAATGAGTGGTGCTTTTTGTCCAGAAATTTTGCGTACTTTCGTGCCGCTGTGGAGCTTTGTCTGTTGTTTCCAGATGATGTAGTATACGATAGGTTCACGAACTATGTTTTGGATTATTGACATTTTTGCGAAGTGGGATGCGTTTATTTAGTAAAACTAGATGCAGGTATACACGTTTTACAGGGTGATCTTGGTTTCTAGTAGATTAACTTAACTTACCCTTTTTCTTGTCGGGAACTTCAAAGGTTTATCTTCATTGCATAGGTCTGTATATAGATAGTTTTCTGTGACCTCTATATTTCTCCTGTTTTACTCTGTCTTGATATCTTTCACCGTTAGGTGTCTATGGTTCTCGTCTATTTAACGTTGACATTATATTCGTAGAGCGACACGGTATCTGGCAATGCAACAACAATTAATCAAGTGCTGCCATCTTACCTACGAAAAGCTCTGCCAATAGGATCTGAACGAATCTTAACATTATCATTAGAAGCTCTGTAAGTTGCATTTAAGTTAACTCCACTTGTAAATCGCCCAGTGGCGTCAAAATTAATGCTGATTTGTTTTCGTATAACAGCAGGGATAACTTAAAACGTACCTAGTTGCTGTTTTATTTTTTCTATCCGAATTATTTCAAGCAAATCGTTGTGGTAAGATTTCTTTTTGAATTTATCATTCATTTTTAGCACGAACAGTTTGTAATCTGGTTTAGCCGTTGTTGTTGTACTTAATAATGTTAGCTCTAGGACTGGGGAACTAGCAGTATGGCAATTCATAAATATTATATATTTTACATTATAGTTATTTGCTGTCCTGTGCTGAACCTGTCCAGGTAGATAGATAGCCTTTGTGTAGGCCATTCATTTCAGGTTCCATGTTTTTACATTCACATGTCCCTAAACGTCGTCATGTAAAAATTAACAGTTGATTGATGATGACGCTTTGACCGAAAAAAACCAACATGAAAACGAGATAGTTTCATTTAAGTAGCGGCACTGGAACTTTCGTTTATTGGAATACATGGCGCCATTTGCGAATATGCCCAACGGTTGTATGCGTATCTTATTCATTTTTGTGATCTTGGTCTATAAGCATTGTCTTAACCAGCATTCCTTTTCAGAAGGAGCGCTAAACGTATCCACGAAAGTTAGATTAGCCATATGTGGCAGATTTTTATCTCTGTGCAATAATAGAGATTGTTCTGAAAAAGGATAGTTACGTAAATATATCATTATTATCTAAATTATAGACATTAGCAGGGAATTACAATTCATTCATCTGCCATTTGTTGTTTATATGAAAATCGTCTATATATAATATGATAGACAGTCAACGTGCTGCTGAGCTTTGTTCAGATAAATAGAATAGCGAGCAGGCATTATGACCAATCAATTAATGCCCTCTATCAAACTTGAGTATCAGATACAGTTGTAAAGAGTTGTCGAAGGCCTGCACCAGGCTCACTTCACGATCATCTTGTGAACTTTTTTTACGCCATTTATCTGTTTCCCCTATGTGGAAGAAGCGAGAGACTAGCGTACAGCTTCATCGCTTTTGAAATAGAGACGCGCGTATCCGGCAGGTAACAGGATCGATGAGCTGAAGTTGGTGGAGTTGAATGAACGGTATAGTAAGCAACGGATGTACACTTATGGACTAACGTTATGTACATTTCATGTAGTCCATTAATCCCTCTAATTAGCCAGCCGCTTCCAGTCCGGTCATATATAGTTTGGTTTTCAGCAAAAGCGCAGGGCCCGATTGATTACCCTTGTCTGTGTCGTTGTGCCCTTGTTCACTTTATCGTTGCTAGCCGAAGCAACTGTGACAAGAAAACGGAAGAATGAATGAACAAACATGTTGAAACATGGCATATGAGATTAGGACGTTGATTTCAAACTATCTATATTGAGAACAAAATGGCGATTGTTTCAGTTCATTTTCTGGAGTAGGGCATACCGCAGCGCAATACGATTCATTTACTTCTTTATAATCAGACTTATCTAAATATTGAGAAACATCTTAGAAATAGATCAGCCAATGAATTCCGGACGAATCCGACCCATGGATGTTGCAGTGCCCGCACCGGCCTGAACTAGAACATCGGCTCTACGAAGTCGAAGAAATACGTATTATAGGCAATCAAGTTGATGTGTACGTTGAAGCTCGTTTACGTTATCGACCCATGCCGTCCTGTGCTCCTGCTGCTGAGACGAACCGGGATGTTTGGAGAGAAGCTGCCATCGGCGTGCCCAGGAGTGTTCCTTCAATTTTTCTGTCGTCTTTCAACGAGACTATGTTGAAATGGCCTTGAGCCACCGATTGACTATCGTACGAGATCCTACATTACAATATAATGGAACAGCGAACGCCCCCGGGCAAGTCTGTTTTAGACCGAACTGGACTGTATTTGTAACATTGCTGTCATTGTATAACGGCAAATAGCCCTTGACGCTGATTGTTACTATTACTGTAATAATGGTATTTATTATTGTCACATTATGTCGTCACGTATCTCATCATCAGAATACATATGCATCAGAAGTCTTATTTGTTTGCCCCTCACTATACCATTATCCTATTTTCTTGAGTACTGTAGGATTTAGCTACCAAAGAATGCCTAGTATTACTTATTGGAATTTGCGAATCGCTTAAATATGATACGCTTCACTTGCTACGTTACCATCAATAGTCTTACTCGCATTTATAGGTTTAGTACATCATACACAGCCACTTATTTGATTTGTATTATTAGACGTAATATGTTGAGGGAAGGTTGTTTCTGTGAGCGTGTTTGTAGGTGTGGGTGTGTGTGTGTGTGTGTGTGTACTAAGTGATTTTAACTAAAGGTTTGCTTTGTACCGTTTGGAATTGGGCCGAAGGCCCGGGGCACCCCGTCGTTGCCCTACGGACATTCCGCTTGCCGCTGTATCATTACCATTTCTAAATGTCAAAATTTTGTCCATCCTCTACGAGTATCCGTGTCCTCCAGCCAAACCGTATACAATTGACTACAAGTATATATATGTGGGTTATTTTGCGCGCGCTCCTTTATACTGAACTCGTTCGGGTTTCTTGCTTTGTGACGTATATATTTTCGATGATTCAGTAATGCAACGTTTCGTGGCAAGACGAAAATTACCGACAATCGTCAGGAACTAAATGATAAAATAGCAAAAGTTTAACGATCCGTGTTGTTGAACGACAATGAAAACTGAGCATTGCCGACGGGGGCCCACTGTGAACACTGGCGCAGTGCACGCTCTGGAGAATGACTGAGCCGTATTTCTACTGTTGTCAGATGAAAATGTATCTTTATCTGCTTTTTTTTTGTTAGTCATTTTTGTCATCCGGTTTCAGTTCATCTGATCACTTCTACTTGTGCCAAGTGGTAAAAATCTGGAAAATGGCAGAGAACTCGAACGGATGCAACATGTCAAATAGGCTGCCCTTGTTTCGTATCAGCGCTAACGGCCACTAAGTACAATCAACGCTGAAGTAGCTCGCCATTAGCATGTATTCTCAGGGTGTCAGCCAGGTCTAATGTCGCCTTTGAAATTATACATCCATTTATCGGTAGATTTTTTTCTATCATTCTCATATCATTATGATAAGTTCAGCATGATATTTTCTTATTATTCATCTCACCACAAAACGCCAAGCCTCTAACATAACCCTCAGAGTAGCTCTTCAGCCGACTTCAATGCTGACTGATATCTTCGTCTGAGCTGACTTCTCGCTGCAGAACGAATGGTGCTTATTTGTGCTCTGAATTTCGTGTTTCGCGCTCTTTTTTTTTTCTTTTAATTGGGAACAAACAACATCAACAACCGCGTAACCGATGAGACAATATGAGCTGAACCAATCGTTTCATAAGCCCCGCTTAACCTTCACTATGTTGACTGGAGCGAACGATTTATCGTTGGGCATTTTACGGAATTGACGTGAGAGACGTAAACGTCAATCGCAGCGTCAATTTCTGATCAAACGAAGGCATTTTTCTCAGAGCGTTTCCTATGAGTGTCTTCAGCTGTATAGAACGCAATGCGAAACGAGTTTTTCCGTAGTATCATTACACGCATTTATATCTGTTACATAGACGAAATATGATTACTATTATTATATCTATATATATTTTTGTGAGGTTCCATAGCGTTGCAATCGGATGCAATTATGGTGACAGTGTGAAATACGTATGACTGAATAAGGATGACGTACGACGTCCAATCAAAGCAGAGATAAAACGTAAAATTCTAATATAGGTATAAATAGACTAGAACTGACGTCGCGGCGGGCGATCCTATTAAGTCGAGGTAGCATACGATCCGAGTGATAATCATTCCCACACATATCATAACTCCCACATGCGGGACGCGCCTCAAGGACTATAGTTGCCAAAGTTACATGCGTGCTCGCGTACTATTCAACTGTACTGGTACGAGCAGCGGGCGAGCTATTAACAACCACTATTGTGTGTGTGTGTGTGTTTAATAAATGCGGTAGGTCAATTGCTATGATATAATCCTGTACATGTCTATGTATGTGATATTGTTTCTTTCCTTTTTGCTTTTTCCACCTACCGTTATCAATATCGTCTCCTACCGATTCTTCGCCTGCGTTACTCTTGAGATAACGTATCACCACGAGCCTCGCACGGGGAATGAACGGCTCCCGCCAAGAGACATCCTTTTGCTGTTTCTTCTTTTGCCTTTTATTTCGTATAGTTGGTATCATTAATTGATTAGAATTACGTTAGACCATATAATTTCGGCATGATTATATCTTTTGAATCAGCATTGCAGGTAAATGTTGTCAACTAAATCGTTTTTCATTTGCCTTTGTGGCTAGACACCTGCTGACTGCAGTTTGAATCCATAGGGTCTGTCTTATACTTAGACTGTTACTGTTAGGTATATTAATATTTTTTGATTTCATATTGCTATCACCTATCCATTTATCGACATTTGTGCAGTTGTTTTTGTTACTATCAATTTATAAATAGACGCTACCTCCCCCTCCCCATTCCTCGCCATTTTGAAACGCGGCACACGCTTGCTCCTGTCACATTCTATATATTGTCTGTCTTGTATGTATAAGGAAGTTGAAACGATATATTCATGTGAGCTTGACCTTTTGTGTTTCCTCTAGAACGTGTCAGAGCTTTTCTTTTTTTTTTTTTTGCTTGAAACTGTCTCAGCCAAATTTACAGATTGCCCTAAGCATTTTTGTTAGATCGGCGCAAAAAGCTTGTAGCAAAATGGGGTAAACACCCGTTAGATGTACTGATATCTCATGCCTACATACAAGATAGTAATAAGAAAGTATCGCATGAAGAGATTACTATCTGTACGTATATTTAATGATATGATTTATGTTTTATTTATCTTGCGCATCCTTTCTCTTGTCGATAAGTTTATCTTTCGCTCTCCCGTTTATCGCTTTTATGTATTCCTATTTTGAAAGAGTAATGAATGGGGCTGGAGATATCAAGGATGTTAGCGTTTGCTGGAGTTATTCCTGGTAATGCCTCGACTCTTGTTGACTAACGTTGTACCGCCTTTGTAATTTCCTCTATTGTAGCAATGTTATAGCAACATATTTATATAATAATAATAATAACAAGAATATTAATGGCTTAGTCTATGCTCTAGCTGTTGTTCACCCTTCTCAGGTCTTTCGCTTAGTAATTCCTTTGAGGTATACAGGAAGCCAATATATACATACTGCCACCAAGCGATAATGGTAATTTTGCGTCTATATTGCTTTTTTATATCATATATTGGCAATTTTTTCCAAAATAAACAAAATATTCTAAGTATCGTATATTTAATGCATTGTATAAAGTATTGAAGGCAACCAACCATGTGAGATACTAGGGGAATCGAACTTGAAAGAATATCTATACATCTACCTCACTCAGTATGTCCACAAGTAAGTTGCTATGCAGATAACGATAGTTATTGACAATATACTGATTTACTATATGCTATTAAAAATATTGATCTCAATCAAGTACGTTTCGCCGAGCATAAGTATACCTTTTGGTATTACTATGACACGTATCGAAAACCGTTGTCCGCACAGTATTAGAGAGTACCACCTATAGGGTCCCGTTGATGATTCGAGTCCGTAGCCACCCGTATGTTTGGATACTTCTTCGCACCGATAAGGGCGACGGCAGCGGTAAGGGTATTCTTTAAATGCATGGGTTACGGTGCGACATCTCCGATTTTAGAAAAACAATACGAAATTTAGCGGACCATAAATGTCAAGTGTGATTTTACGGGGATGGGCGGCAAACATCTATTATCAAAATTCTCGAACAACCTGCAAGAACAACAAAATTTCGCATTTGTTCCGAGCCTTTCATTTGTAGTAATCTGAACACGACACGTCCATGTTTTCGGTCTACGTTGTCCCTTTACATGGAGCTTTCCGTCTACTGTGACGCTGAATACGTATCGCCGATAAACGCGACAGGTAGTAGTTGACGGCGAGCCATATGATAAAACAGTGATTGTTTTTATAAACAAATGCCATTGCGGCTACGCTTCATGCAGGAAAAAAAATAGGAAAAGAATCTCGTGACTGGGCTCAGATTCATTGCAGATCAGGCATTGAGGTACCGACAACCCTTGACATCATCCTAGTCTACCATTGTTTGTCATTTCATTAGTATTCATTTTTACTTGCTTCCGTGTAAGCGTAAGATTATTATGCATTCTTCATCTGTACATCGATAAGTGTACTTGCTAGAAAAGTGTACCAAGGGCCAGCCAGCATTACTCCACGACCCTATGGTTACAAATTAAAGATTGATTTATCGGTAGCAAATGACACATACAAATTAGCTGGAATACATACACTGATTAGACACGCTAAGATAGTTGTTTGTCTACAGTTACAGCAATAGCGGCAGCTCGCTCTTGTTCTCTATCATTTTAGATTACCACCCTATATATATAATGGATTTATTATTGTTACTGCAGCAGTAACAACAATAACAACAACAAATCTTCCATAGTGCTTAGCTGTTCTGCTAGTTTCCGACTCACTATCGAGCTGAAGGAGAAAAGAAGAAATTCGCTTGTTATTTGCCCACGTATTTGTCCGTTTGTGTGCATCCTGTATACTACTGGATGTGATCGTAAATGTAAAATTTGTCTAAGCTGTACACACTACATTTTGGTAGGGAAACGGCGGTGATAGTAGGTTATCGGCAATTGGTCAGTCATGGTTAGGTCTTGTAGTGACTTGGAACGGTCGACGCTCGGCCTCAATAAGAACAAGTCGAATTTCGAATAAAATGTATAGCAAGTGAGAGCTTGTGAGACTATGGAATTGTATGAAGGTCAGCCCCGTCATGCTCGACCAACGTACGCCTCCATCCGATTATCATAGAGATTCGATGCACCAGCCAACCGATCCTGTCTGATCGGACACTCGTGTGTTCCTTCCTTAGATCGGGAATGTTTTCATTTTTTCAGCCAAACTTGTAGGCGAATACAGACTAGCGGGGCATCGTAACTTCGACGCGCATTGCCGCTTATCCATCACATGCTTAAAAAATTTATTTTATATTATTACGTATAGATGTATTCGCTTTTCCGCGCCAAGTCACTTACAAAGATCACCTGGAGTGATTAGCCATTATTGTGGTAGATCATGTCTGTAGAACGTTGCGGAAGGTCCGGTCTTCATACCGGATGAGGTGTCATTGAGTACGATTACTAATATGATTATCATTATTGTCATGTGAATCGATCTTACAAATGTGCCAACGCTTTCCCTTATCTAGCTAGTAAAAACGAAGTCATGTTCAGTCTACGAGGCGATCGATCAAGCGTAAGTCAATCAACGAAGTAACGAATGACAGGCAACATTGTCATAGACTAGCTCATCAGCTCTGCACAGTTCGTGCGTATGTTACCGTCCAATACGATATGAAGACATCACAATCATGAACTTTTCACGCTTAGACTTAAAATCCAATACGACGAGGATGGCTCAATTCGCGGCCATAGCAACAACTTGTTGTCGGCACTACCGCCGTCCTCTTCTATAGAAATATATTCGTAGATGTAAACCATGTTTCTAACTAGACATTATATTCTTCTGTTAATTTCTATGCATTTAATAAATATCATTCTTTGTTGCGTATGGGTTACGTTTCATTGTTTGTTTGCACTATGTATATCAATTATGATAATTGTCGTTCTCCTGAACACATTCATTGTTTATTCCCTTCGTCGTCGTAGCGTGATCTCTCTCTAAGCTTGATCAGCCAGAAATACTAAGTACAGGCTATATATGTACGCATTTGAAATTATATATTCTACATATAACAGTTGTGTAGATAATATCTTTAGTCTATTAGAGCGCGAAACATATCTATTCATTATTCAGCTATATTTTACAACAACAGCCTTTGTTCTGCTGTTCGTTCTTCCGGAGAGGATCTCGCACAGAAATTTCATCTGAAGTTACTCTGCACCTCGCGGTTGTTATTATGTTAGCAACAGATCTGCTAACGCTGCCTACGAATGTCTGTATCTGATACGAGATGCTGTTCCTTAGGTTAATCGGCCATTGTTTGTTGTCGTCATCTCGTATTGATTTGTGTGTCGTTGACCCATGTTGATGGGCTCGGTCATCTTTTTGAGGGTGTCTCATGAGTGTGTAACGCGACCACCGATTTGAGGTTCTAATGTCAACAGACGGTTCTTCCGTTTTGTCCGCACAAGAATTAAGATTAGTTTGTTTGTTTGTTTGTTAAATGCTTCTGGTGTTCGCTGGCGTCTTCATCACTTCGACCAGTGTCGTCGACCTTAGCCGTACTACGGCTGGCTTAAGTCATCTGTTTGGCTGTCGTTTTGTTCACTTATTCTCTTTTCTTTCGTAAGCTAAATATCGTTGTCTGCCTTTAATGGGCTTTCTAATAACAGGTTATATCTGGCTGTCATTAGTCATGTTCCGATGTTCCAACTCAACTCCGGCGGTGGTTGGTTCGTATCTATAAACATTAGACCATTCACGAGCGCTTCGACGACAACCGGAAAATTGGCTGTTTTTGGAAAATACATGTTCACTGCTTGCGGCGTCTTGATACCATAAGAAATTGGCGTGGGACACACTGTAGGTAAATGAGCAAATTGAATAGAATAACGCTGAAATGATTTTTCCATGCAGCTAACATGGCTGTCAGCAGATGGATACCATTCGAAGATATCTGAAGCACGGAGGATGCGCTGGTGAGCACCAGCGTGAATGGCTGTAAAGGCCACTTTTGATCGAGCAACCAAGATGGATCAAGGGCCTATCCACACACTAGCTTCACCTAAACAGAAAGTCAGTGGGAATTCTTGTGATCGCTGGTTCGTATTCGTTGTTTGGCTAAAGACCGTTGTGTTCCCCTATGAAAGCGTTATTTTCATCGTTGACGACGACTGCAGGAGTTCGGTACGTGTGTGATGGTATCTGCTGTTCGTATTTCAAATCAATTGTTGCACCGCAAAGACATTTAGGTAAATTGGCTGGTTCTAAGTTGAGCACGTGCGACAGCGACGAGTTCAACATACGTAGAGTTCTATACTCTAATAACAAGCAGTTACTTGGTCGCTTTATAGTGGTACGGTAATTGTTGTTATAGTAGAGTTCACAGACTGGAAATTCGCACAGACACCTGGTCATCTGTCGTATGTGCCTGTTCGGCCTCCCCGCCTGGGCTGATGTTCACCACGGCTGTGGTGACCCCGGATGGGCTCGAGCTCATCGTGGCGACGACTGTTGGAGCTGGCAGGGGCTGGTTGAGACTCGATCGCTGACTGGCTGCTCTCCCACCGCCGGGGCCGCCCCCGGTACTGCCACCACCTCCGCCCGCGTTGCCACCAGGCGCTCCGGGTGTCGCGTTGGGCTCTCCCCTCAGCAATAGATGGTCTGACGACGTAGCGTTGCCGCGGTTCGTTAGACGAACCTGTACGTCGCTCAGTTCCTCATCAGTACGACCGGCCTCCGAGTCACCGCTACCCGAACGCTGAAGGAAAGGCAAGGATTGAGATTCCAGGATGGACAGGAGCCAAAAGGGGCACACGGTGCGGAAAATCAGGACAACGAACACGAAACGCAAAGGGACGTAGAGGGAGAAGACTGATATAGAAAAGGAGTCATTATAAGAGTATACGTAGAAAAGAGAAAGCAGACGTACAAATACAAACGTCACTCAAACGAACAAAGCAGTGAAGTTAGATAATAGCACCAACATTGCAAAGACGTATTAGGTTGTGATCATGGCAGATATATGTATAT